TCAGCACGTCAGGTGGGTTGGAATCATGCCTTATCGCCCTTGCTTGCGCCACATCACATGAAAACAGAACATGTTTCTGCGACTCCTTGCCTTCCCCCTGCCTAGTACCTACCTCTCTCTGCCCATCCCCCACCTTGCCAACTCCACTCTGACACCTTCTCTTTGCTCTCTCTCCCCCCCCCTCCCCTCTCCCCCCTCCCCCACCAGGCACGCTCTTGTCGCACTTCGCCCAGGAGTTTCCTTTAGCGATGAAGATCTCGGGGATTCAGCTGCTTGTGCCGGGAGGCATAGGCGTGCGCGGCGTGGCGGCCATCCTCAACCAGGATGTGATGTCGGGCATCGGGTTTGTCTTTGAGATGCTCACTGTCGGCCTTGCCATCACCATCGGACTCATTCTCGCGAATCTTGTGCTGCCCGAGTCCATGTTTGCGCATGGTAGCCGCCCGCATCATAATAAAAGGAGGCTTGCGGCGGATTTGCGGGCAGATTCTATGGCACATGGTGGGATTGGAGGTCGGTTGGATGGGGCGAGGGGGAGGGATGAGGTGATAGGGAGAGGGTTTGGTGCGGATTCTGATGGGGGTGGTGGTGGTGGTGGTGGGGTTAGGGGAGTGTTGGCTGGAGTGCTGGGTTTGGCTGGGTTGAGGAACCGGGGGAATGGGGAGGACAGATTAGCTTCTGCGTTTCTGCCCCAGGTGAAAGAAGAGGAGGATTCGGTAGCATTTTGATAATACAGGAATAGTTCAACTTTGTATAGGGCAGTAGAGGCTGCAAGAAAGCTTATTTGTAGTTTTTGCAAATTTGTCTGTTCCCTATATGTTATATGCTGGTGATGGCTTTTTTGGTAACCCTTGGTTTCGCGAGGAAAATCGCGACTCGTCGCAGCTTCCTTGTCTCAGGTGACCCCCAACAGCCGCACGTGTGTTTGGGGTCGCACTTGTTGACTTGATGGAATGAACTTTGTGCATTGTGCTCCTTTCGTGGCAACTTGGCAAGGCGCGTATTGGCGCTTGCCACGTGATCTGAAGAGGGCCGATTTTGAGCCCTCGATGCTGAAGCATTCTGTCTTCCACCCCACGATGCTGATGAAATATTGCTCGGCTTTCGCGACGCGAGATGGCAATTTCTTGTTCGTGTGCGACTCGGATGTCAATGTTGCACAAGGCTCCACTCCAGGGACATTGCCATCCAATCCTATGTCGTTGTGGGGGGCATAGTGCCCATCACTCCCAGCCACAGCAGTCCCATTCCATCACCAGGCTCTCCAAGAGGCATTACTCTCAAAGCGAGAAAGACAGTTGTTGCTCTACATCCTAGTGTCAGTGATTGGAGGACTTGCTCGTTTGACTGGTTGTTATTATTCAGCTGAATGCCTTCTCAAGAAACGGAGAGAATCTAGAAGACCTAGAGAAAATATCCCACCTTAGATAATTAGAACACATGACTTCGCGCGGAGCGCGCAGCAGTGCACGGATGCGCTACGGGGCCATCCTCGCACTCGCGGGACTGCTGGTGGTTTCGCGTGTTTGCTTGCTCGCATCTGCGCAAGCGGATGAGGAGGCGGGGGAGAGTGCGGCGGAGCAACAGGCGGAGGTTTCGCGAACCATCACCGCGAAGGGTCCGATAGGACACCACCCGGCGGACGCGGCGAGGGACTCGGCAGAGCAGGTGGCGAAGCGGCAGCAGCGGACGACGTCGCCCAACCTTCGCCGCCTCGCGCTATTCGTCGACCCGCTGCCCATTCCGCCCGTCGTGGACGCGTCCAAGCTGCCGCGTCGCAACGGGCAGTCGCCCAATATCACGATCGGCGTGTACAACGTGAAGCGGGTGAGTCACTCTCAATGTCACCTGCTGCTGTCAACTCTAGCGGAAAATGCAACAAGTCTAGATGCACCGGCCTCTTGTATTCGCTGCGTTTTCAATTTTCTGTTCCCCGCTGGCCCACTTGCCCCGCTCCCCTTCACCCCCCGAGCAGAAGTTCCACAGCGACCTGCCGGCCACCAAGGTGTACGCGTTCGGGCTGTCGCGCAGGACGGCGAGCGTGCCGGGGCCGACGATCGTGGCGCAGAATCGGGAGGAGCTGCGCGTGGAGTGGGCGAACAACATCACGGACAAGCAGCACATGTTTCCGCTCGACCGCACGCTCATGATTCCCCAACTCAAGCTCGGCGGTGTCCCCATCGGTGAGGGGCGTAGTGCGGAGGAGATTAGTTTCTCACCGTGATGTTCCAGTGATGTTTTCACTAAGTGTCTCTGTGAGGAGACTGCTGCACGTCTCGCTTCTGCAGCAATGCGACTGCTGCCAAGCGAGAGTAACCACGGGCACGGGCTCACGGACTCTCTCTTCCTCCCTCGTCGTATCTCCGCCTCCCTGCAGCCGTCCACGTGCATGGCGCGCAGGTGTCGAGCAAATCGGACGGCCATCCGTTAGCGTGGTGGACGAATCGGGGAGAGCGCGGTCCGACGTTCGTATCGAACACGTACACGTACCCGAACGGCCACGCGGCGAGCACGCTCTGGTACCACGACCACACGAGCGGCATGACGCGCCTCAACGTGCTCGCGGGCATGTTCGGCGCATACATCATCCGGCACCCCGAGCTGGAACAGAAATTTAACCTGCCCGAGGGCAGGTACGACGTGCCGCTGGTGATTCAGGACCGGTCGTTTGTGAAGAACGGATGGACGTTCCTGCCGAGCCAAGGCGTGTCCAAGGTGCACCCGCACTGGATGCCCGAACACTTCGGCGACTTCATGACCGTCAATGGCAAGGTCTGTCCCTCTTTGATCGTCCCGTACCCTCATTTTACTTGCGCCAAGTCCACTAGCACTTTGCCTTTACTCGCACTTGCAGTGCGATTCCGATTTTTTCCGCTGCATTGGCCAATGCACCACACTCACCATCGCATTTACACCTCATGCGTGCAGGTGACCCCGTACATGCGCGTGGAGCGACGCAAGTACCGCTTCCGCATCGTCAACGGCGGCACCGCGCGCTTCCTCGAGCTCGTCTTCCGTGCGGCCCCCGCCAACACCGACCTCACTCTGCGGAACGCGCTGTCCGCGTCCCCGCAACTCCCCTTCGTGCAAGTCGCCGCGGACGGCGGGTACCTCAACGCGCCCGTGCCGCTCTGCCGCTCCGTGCTGGGTCCGGGGGAGCGCGCGGACATCGTCATCGATTTCTCCAAGCTCCCCGCGGGCACCGCGGTGTACCTCACCAACCGCGCGCCCGCGCCGTACCCCGGGGGCGCCGTTCCGCAGGGCGACCTTCGCTTCGTGATGCGCTTCGACGTCGTGCCCGCGACGTCCGCCGACACGACGCGCGTGCCAGCCACGCTCCTCAGCATTCCAGCATCTCACCAAAGCCGTTAATTTCAAGGCGCCGCGGATCATCAGCCTGACCGAGGTCGAAGATCCCGCTTCTGGTGCGCCTGAATCGGGGCTGATGGAAGGAAAGCATTTCAGCGCGCCCGTGACGATTAGACCTAAGTTCGGGACTATGGAGTTATGGTACATAGTCAATCTGTCAGAGGATACCCATCCCGTCCACATTCACTTCGCGCCGCACCGCATTCTCTTCCGCCGCCGCCTCAACACGACGCTGGTGGAAGAGAAAAAATGCAGCATGGCGGGCGGAAGCTGCTTCGTGGGGCGCGCAGTAGCGCCGCACCGGACGGAGCGCGGGCGGAAGGACACGAGCAAGGCGCCGCCCGGGTGGGTGACGGCGGTGGCTGTGGATTTCGCGCCGTGGCAGGGCAAGGCGCTGTCGTTCGACCCGCGCGAGGGGCCGGGATACGTGCTGCACTGCCACATATTGGATCACGAAGACAACGATATGATGCGCCCCTTCGTACTCGTTTGAATGGCGCGAATATGGGCTCGTACCTCGTTATACATCGCAGGGGACGGGTACAAAAGGAATGCATGGTAGGTTCAACACTGACGAGGCTGGAATGCTGAGCCGGATTTTCCAAGACGACGACACGCTGACGTGGAAGGATGGCTTTAGATCGGTGTGGTCCAATCCGAGAACGGCTTTCCAACCACCATAGGAAGTTACCGGAAGGGCAGTGCTGACTCATTGTCTTGTCCCTTCCCCCTTTCCAGTTACGACTGTGGATGTAACCCCAAACTGACAAGTTTTGTCAAATTCGCTACATGGTGCCAACGGCAGTTAAAACGGATCATATATATTACACCATTGTTTACTATCCGTCCAAAAAACCTGATGCATATGGTGCCGATAAATGACGTCATTGTGTGCAATACATAAAGCGGTCTATGGCTGCTGCCAGCGTGCCTTGATCTCCTCTGACGCGTTCTCCATCCGATTAACCGTCTGTGTGATTATATTCCCCACCGCCGTCTGCTGGATCATCTGCCCCACGCGGGTGGCGAGCGACGTCTCTTCTGCGACCTGGGAGGCGTCGGTGCGGCGGTGCCACTGTAGCTCGAGCTGGAGCTGCCCCTTGGAGTCAATGAGGGGGTAGAGGTCGTTGATGCGCCCATTAATCACCACATCACTCAGCTGTATCTCACAGTACCCCACCGCCTCCTGGGGGAGGGAAGGGGAAGAAAAGGGAGGAGGGAGAGAATGGAAGAAGGGGGGAAGGAGTGTAGAAAGGCTCTACACAACTCATCGCCCGTTGATCACCACAGTGCTCAGCTGTATCACAGTACCCCACCGCTTCCGAGGGGAGAAAGGAGGGGAGGGGAGAGGAGGAAGAGAGAGGAGGTGAGAGTCAGTGGGGAAGGGAGGGGGGGATGAGTGCGCGAAGGCTCTAGGTGTGAACTGGAGGCCGGAGAAACGTCTGGCCGCAAACAACTGACCAGAAAATGCAAGGCTCGCGAGAGACGTGCGGTTGGCTACACGCAGTTGCGGGCAGGTAGGTGCGAAGGCAGGCAGGCAGGTGGGCGCGCGGACGGACGGGTCGGCGGGCAGGCAGGCAGGTAGGCAGGCAGGAAGGTGGGTGGGAGGGTAGAGGGGGCCCTACCTTGGAGAGGACGGAGAAGGAGGAGAGGGACTTGGAGAAGACTTTGATGTGCAGCGTGTCGCTCACTGGTGGCTTCTCCAGGAACACCTCGAAGGGTTCCTCCTCAAACACCACGTCTGCCTGCTTCTTGTAGTGCTGGTAGGGTGGGGGGAGAGGGGAAAGGGGAAGAGGGGGAAGGTGTGAGTGGGGAGGGTCGGAAACATCTCGAATGGCTCTTCTTCAAACACCGCATCTGCTTGCTTCTTGTAATGCTGGCACAAGAGGAGGAAGAAGGTTGGACGGGGAGGAAACAAAGGGGAGGTGGATGGGAGGAGGGTGGTGAAGGGGAGTGATTGGAGAAGGGTTGCAAGAGTGGGGGCGAGCAGCAGGTGCTAGGCATTCCTGGCTGCAATAGTATCAAGGTGGCTCAAGAATCTTCCTCTCCCACCCACCTGCTTTCTGCCCCAAGAACATCTCGACCCACCTGGCCCTGCCACTCCTGGCTGCGGAAGCACAGCACAACCAAGGGGTTGGTGTGGTGCTGTGCCTCCAGCCCCTCACCTGCTTCACTCCTACCTGCTTCACAGCGCGCGTGGACCAAGGCGCGCGCGGACCTTCACCCCTACCTGCTTCACCCCTACCTGCTTCACCCCTACCTGCTTCACCCCTACCTGCTTCACCCCTACCTGCTTCACCCCTACCTGCTTCACCCCTACCTGCTTCACCCCTACCTGCTTCACCCCTCACCTGCTTCACCCCTCACCTGCTTCACCCCTCACCTGCTTCACCCCTCACCTGCTTCACCCCTTGCCTGCCTCTGCCATTCTCATCTCTCCCCCACACCTGGCTCTGCCCACCTGCCTCTCTCTCCCCCCCACCTGGCTCTGCCACTCCTGGTTGCGGAAGCGCAGAACAACAAACGGGTTGGCGTGGTGCCGTGCCTCCAGCCCCTCGCCTCTCTTGAGGATCACGCGCAGCAGCCCGCCCCCCACCGGCACCCACTCGGGGAATGCCTCCGCCTCCTCCTCCTGCATCTCCTCCACGTCCATTGGTGGGGGCGCCTCGTTCTCCCCCAGAGGGCTGATGGGGGGAGTGATGGAAGGGAACAGAGGGGATTGAAAGGCCTCGTCTCCCTACTTCTCTGCCTCCTCCGCCTCCTCCTCCTGCATCTCCTCCACGTCCATTAGTGGCGGCGCCTCGATCTCCCCCAGAGGGCTGGTGGGAATGAGGGCAGGCAAAGGAACAGAAGGGATTGTAAGGCCTCGTCCCCCTCGCCTTCGCCTCCGCCTCCACCTCCTGCATCTCCTCCACGTCCATTGGTGGTGGCGCCTCGTTCTCCCCCAGAGGGCTGATGAAAAAGGCACGACGAGGGAGAGAAAGGAATGGGGTGAGGGCGACGCGCCGACAGAATTGTTGGTGTCTGGTACTCTTGCCACACTCATTCCATCCACCACGTGCCATCCACCACGTGCCATCCAGCACGTGCCATGGCGTGATATGTGTCTGTTTCACACATCAAATGTCACATCATGCATGCACGCACGCCACAAGCGCAGCAGCGAGCATACACCCACGTGTACAGCGAAAGCACATTTGAGTCAACTCAAAGGCACCCACGTGTACAGCAGGCGGAAGCACACACTCCCTGTATCATGCCAGCTCCTCCTCCAAACCATCTGCCCTTGCCTCCCCAAGATCGCTGAAACGTGGCGCCAGGCGCAGTTCAAAGCCTTTGGGCTCGCCCACTGCCAGCTCGCTCAGCGCCACATGCTACATGCATGGCACAGGAACAAAAAGGAAGCTCGCACTTGTACAGCGGCACTTACTTGTACAGCGGCACTTACTTGTACAGCGGCACTTACTTGTACAGCGGCACTTACTTGTACAGCGGCACTTACTTGTACAGCGGCACTTACTTGTACAGCGGCACTTACTTGTACAGCGGCACTTACTTGTACAGCGGCACTTACTTGTACAGCAGCACTTACTTGTACAGCGGCACTTACTTGTACAGCAGGCGGAAGTACACACTCCCGATGTCGCGCCGGCTCCTCCCCCCGGACTGTGCGCCCCCCAGGTCGCTGAAGCGCGGTGCCAGGCGCAGCTCAAAGTCCTTTGCCTCCCCCACTGCCAGCTCGCTCAGCGCCACCAACTGCACCCCCATCAGCCTGTCCGCCTTCCCCTGGGGAGGAAAACGGGGTAGTACGAGGGTGGGGTGGGGAGAGGCAAGTGAGAGAGATGTGGGAGAGGGATGGGAGAGAGGGTATGATTGTTGGATCTCACTCAAGCAACTCAAAGTCCTTGGCTTCCCCCACTGCCAGCTCACTCAGCGCCACCACCTGCACCCCCATCAGCCTGTCCGCCTTCCCCTGGGGGCATTCAATGGGAGGGTGGAGAGAAGTGGGTGAGTGAGGGGGCGAGGGGGGTGTGCGCGTTGGCTCTCATTCCAGCAGCTCAAAGCCCTATTCCTCACCCACTACTAGCTCGCTCAGCGCCACCACCTGCACCCCCATCAGCCTTTCCGCCTTCCCCTGGGATGGGAAATGGGGAAGGATCAGAATGGAAGGAGCAGAATGGCAGGAGCAGAATGGCAGGAGCAGAATGTCAGGAGCAGAATGGCAGGAGCAGGCTATAAATAGGTGGAGGGAGGGGGGAGAGAGACGGGGATATACATGGAAGGAAGACAAAGGCAAGGAAATTTGTCTCAAAGTGTATCAAACCACTGCCATGCGCGCCCAGCCCACAGCCACTTTTGAGGCGCCTCAAAACCGGGAGACCGGGCAACCTGGAAACCGGGAGACCGGGATACCCTACCCACCTGCGTTCCCAGGCTGCCCATGCTGCTCGCGAGTCCACTCAAAAGCCAGCAGCACTGTAACCCAAGGCGTGCCTCTCACCGTGTTCTTGTCAAACACCTCCACGTGCAGCTTCTGTGTCGCCGGGTCGAGCACTTTGAGTCGCAGCTCCTCGTCCCCCCAGTCGGGGTTGAGGTCATTGTCCCTCACACTCGACTCGCGGCTGCCCAGGCTGCTCGTGAGGTAGAAGTGCAGGTAGGGGTCGCTTGTGCCCACCAGCCCCTGGTTGCGCAGATTGCTTGCTCCCATGGCACTGATCGTCAGCCATCCCACTGCCAGCCTGGAGGTGGAGCAGGGGGCAGGGGGGCAGGGTGCAGGGGGGCAGGGTGCAGGGGGGCAGGGAGGAGGAAACAGCATATGAAGCAGACGGGTGGTGGAGAGGCAGCAGTGCTGCAGGTATGGGTCGCTGGTGCCCACCAGCACCTGGTTGCGCAGATGGCTTGCTCGCATGGCACTGATGGTCAGCCACCCCACTGCCAACCTGGGAGGTGGTATGGGGAGTGACGGAGGCAGGAGAGAGCATGAGGCAGAGGGAAGGAGGCAG